AAACTCACCTCAGGGTCAGACACAAAGTGTAGTGACGACTGAGGTGAGGGAAAATAAAGTTTTCGTATATAAAGGAATTGGGGGAACCAAAGACTGGCAATGTGAGGATAAAGGCTGGTAAATAACGGAAGTAAAACGAGATAGAAAAAGAGAACAAATAAAGCATACGCGTAAATAACGTGGTCACGAGACGTCTCCTTTCACACTCCCCCAGACGACGAGGACCTAGAGATCCATTTTGAGTGCTCTGATGAGCTTTTGATGTGTGATGCGATTGAGGGGTTTGGTGAGTATATCCGCGAGATTGTCCTCTGAAGGTATGTATATGACCTTGATCTCGCCTTCCGAGACGCGTTCCTGAATGTAATGGTGTCGGATATCAATGTGCTTTGCGCGTGCATGTCCCTTTGTGTTGGTGGTGAGTGCAATGGAAGATGCGTTGTCCCTGTAGAGGATCGCGGGGAAATTCTGTGTTAGTCCAACTTCAGACATAAAAGAGTACATCCACAGGCTCTGTTGAGCGGTGCGTGTAAGGGACATGTACTCTGCTTCAGTGGTGGATAGTGCAACTGTCGCCTGTCTCTTCGAGCTCCAAGATACCGGTCCCCCAGCCATGGTGAAGACATATCCAGATGTTGAGCAGTGTGTATCGACATCTCCAGCGTAATCGGCATCAACGTAACCGATAGGTGTGATGTCCCCTCCCCAGGAGTAAGTTATCTTGTAGTTGATGGTTCCCTTGAGGTATGCGATGAGGTGTAACATGGCCTTCCAATGGGCAGGGCCGGGGTTTGACTGGAAATGTGCAAGGACACTCACTGCGAACGTGATGTCTGGGCGAGTGGCTACCTGCACCCACATGCAGGAGCCTAACGCTTCACGGTATGGTTTGTCTGCCATAAAATGTTGGTCTTCGTCAGTTTTGGGGGATTCGGATTTGGAGAGGGCGATCCCTGGAGGAAGTGGAGTGGATTTGGGATGGCAGTCCGTCATTCCAAAACGTTCTAGGATGCGCTGAAGGTAAGCGCTTTGTGATAGAGAGATCGCACCAGTCTCTTCATCCCTGTCGACACGAATTCCTAGAATATAACCGAGCTCCCCCACATCTTTTATCTCAAAACACCTCTCTATTTCCTCCTTTGCCTCCGCCACTCCTTCTACCATTGACGATGCTCCAAAAACGTCGTCCGTGTAGGTGCTGGTGACTGTGAATTCGTCTCCGTCGACTTGAGAGTGAATGCATGGATCGGCAATCGACTTGTAATATCCAAGCGCCTCATACACACTCGACATCTGTTTTTGAAAATCAAAAGCTGCCTGCATCATACCGTAGAGGGATTTGTCAACCGCTAGGACCTTTCCTTTCTCCCCCGGTTTGACGAAACCCGATGGCTGACGCATATAGATGGGAAACTCATTGGGACTATAGAGGAAAGCGGAGACGATGTCCACTTGCCAAAGGTGGAGGTCGAGTGCCACGGCGATGGCAGCAACCATCCGAAAAGACTCAAGGCGAACCACAGAGGCGTAAGTCTGGTCATACTCCAGACCAGGGATCTGTGAGAAGCCTTTTGCCACAAGACGCGCTTTGCGTCTGATGACATTCCCATCCGCATCGTACTTGTTAGCGTATACCCACATAGAGTTAATGATGTGCGCGCCTGGAGGGGGATTTATCAAATGAAACACATCCCTCTCTGCCAAAATAGCCCACTCAGTCTCCATTGCAGGCAACCAAAGATCTGGGCACGTCATAGCTTCCTTGTAACTTTGTGGAACATACGTTTCTGGGAGGTCTGTCATCAGTGCAGTGGTCTGAGGAACTGGCGCACCTGTCCCGACAGCAGCGAGACGAGCAGAGCGCCTGGGTGGTAAAATAGGAGTAGGCATCGTGTTTTCAATGCTCGGTGTTACAGACAGAGGTTGAGCGCTAGTGGGTTGTGCGTGTGGTGGAGGATCTGTTGCACGTGGATGAGGGGCAAGTGGTTTGGGTGGGACAATAACACCAGGAGTGTCTGTGGGAGTATCCAAGTCAACGTCGTCAAGGAGTGGGGGCATGTCAGCATCATCAAGAGCAGTGTCAAACGAAGAGGTAGATGTGGCTTCAATCGTACGGTGTCCTGTTCCCTCTTCGAAAATGACGTCACGACTTTTGATCGTGGTGCCTGAAGCCCGATCCCACAACTTGTAGGCGCCACGACCAAAATAGCCAATCAAGACATACTTGATTGATCGAGGAGAGAGCTTCGAGATGCCTATCTCTGCCGGAACCTTGGCATACGCATTGCATCCGAATGGGCGAAGGTGAGATATGTCTTGCCGTTTTCCAGTCCACCGCTCAGCAGGAATGACTCCAGGGTGGCGCGCAGAGGGTACGAAATTTCGAAGGTAAATCACTGTTGCTGCGGCGTCGGCCCATAGTGAAGGTGGAAGGCCTGAGTCCACAATAAGACAGCATGTGCTGTCGAGTATGATTCTCATCCCACGTTCTGCCATCCCATTCTGGCCATGGGCGTAGGGCGCAGTGAACTCAACGATAATCCCGTGAGTCTTCGTATACTCACGCCACCCGTCATTGAAGAATTCTGACCCCATGTCAACGCGAATTCGAATGAGCTTCATCCCTGTCTCTCGCTCTACCCTCGGGTGGTATTCCACAAACACGTTGAGTGTGGTCTCACTGGCTTTATTCCCTAGGAAGTAACTCTGTCGGTAAGATGATCCGCCATCGTTGAAGACCATCATATAATACACTCCCCCAGTTGATTGGATGTGCGCTGGACCCCATAGGTCAATGTAGATGCATTGAAGTACGTCCTTCTCATGCTCTGTGATTTTGTCGTATGGTCGTGCTGTTTGCTTTCCATAGATGCAATCTTCACACTTCCCCTCAGCCTCAACACCCTCCGTAATGTCAAGACCATCAACTATCCCCTTTTTCGCCATCTCCACAATGGACGTAACACTGACGTGTCCCAAACGCCGATGCCATACCTTAATAGAGGCTGATTTTCAGGTGTATTGGGTTGATAGCACGGTGGTGGGGGGTTGAGCGTTTAAAAGGTACATGCCGTTAGCACCTTTTCCTTTCATCAAAAGCCTCTGTTTTCCATCTACTAGGTCATAGAACTGGACTCCCCCTCCTCCGAAAAGGGCCCAGCACCCAGCGGCGTCTAACTTGCTAATTGATACGAGGTTGGCTATGAGATCAGGGGTGTGTACAGCGTCTTTGAAGGTAATGGTCGTCCTTAATGAGCCCGAAATAATTGTTTTCATAACAGCCCCATGTCCAATAATGTGGAACTGACCACCCTTGTTTGCAGGTTGACCTTCATCTGGTTTTGCAAGAGGGAAATATGTGGTGAAGTCGGCGCGTTCAACGAAACAGTGTTTGTTTGCAGCTGAATCCGCATAGGTAAGAATGTTCTGAGGATTGGATCCTGTCGCCGCAGTTAGCACATGGGTTGTGTAGTCCCAAGCGCCTTCAGGATAGGATGCAAGGATGCAGTCTTTTGACGCGAGTAATACTTCATTGGGTGAGTGGATCTCTAACACGTCCCCCCCATCTGACTGTAAAGCTGTGTCCTTTGTCAATAGATGATCATTGCTATTGACATCTGCAATGAGTGCCAACGTAATCTCTGATGTAGGCGATGTGTTAGTGAGCGCAGTGGTTACAGTGGAGGTTGTAGTGTGGGGTGCCGACCCGCGCGCTCCCCCACGTCGTCCAAAATCAGGAGGAAATTGACCCTCCTTTCCTCCCCCTTTCCAATAGCAATTGATGATGGTATGTCCACGATGTCCGCAATTTTGGTTGGTGCAGTGTAGCTGACTCCGACCTTGTCTCGCATTGGTTTGTAGTGCTGTGACGACACTGCTAGGATTATTAACTGACTTCGATCGGTCAATACGATTCCAGTGAATCATGAGTCAATTGATCACTTCTGCTGAAGACTTGGCGTCATATAGGGTGCCAACGACGCTGTCCCACGAAGCAGGGAGGGATGATAGGATGATCATGCGGAAATCGGCGTTGCCGATTTTTGCGCCTGCACTGTTGGCGATTGCCCACTTCATTCGAAGGTTGGATACATGACTCGGGAAGTCGTTTCCATCGGAGAAGATGGCGGTACGAAGGTCACACTGGGCGGTAATGGCAGCGAGGTCAGATGTGATTTTATATTGTGAAGTAAGTGAACTCCAAGCTTCAGCGGTGGTCCCATCGAGCTTAAGGCCTAGCCCAATTGGGTTTTTGGTGTTGTAGAGCAGTAGTGCGCGCATCCAGGCATCATGCATGGCCCACTCAGCAACAGAGGGGTTGGTGGAGTACCATTGTGTGGGGTCATCTGGAAGGGGTAATTCCAATGGACCAGGAGTATAAGTTAATGCAGCGGTTGGGGATGTAGGCGGTGCAGGGTTTAGAATCGTTCCTTTTAGGTATCCTAATACGCCGCAACTAGTCGCCGCAATGATAATTAATGGCTCCCAGGTGGCGAAATTTGCTCCATCGAACTTTTCGGTATCAGCAAAAATAGGTGGGTTGGCGTTGGACGACAACATTTTTGTGGGAATAATGTGGGAGGTAATGTGGGCTTTACGAGTCGCAAGTGAATGTAGTAAAGCAAGTAGTGTCTGTAATTCTGTGAGTTTAACAGAGCACAGCGGGGCCCATAACCTGTTAACGTACAGAACTCAGGGTCAGACACAAAGTGTAGTGACGACTGATATTGTTAGCTACCTGTTAACGTACAGAACTATACACAGGTAGTCAGTAAAAGTAAAGTAAGAGATATATGATGTAAACTCACCTCAGGGTCAGACACAAAGTGTAGTGACGACTGAGGTGAGGGAAAATAAAGTTTTCGTATATAAAGGAATTGGGGGAACCAAAGACTGGCAATGTGAGGATAAAGACTGGTAAATAACGGAAGTAAAACGAGATAGAAAAAGAGAACAAATAAAGCGTATGCGTAAATAACGTGGTCACGAGACATCTCCTTTCACAGTAGCATGGACAGGACAGGCATTCTAAACAAACAAGTCAGATTGGTGAAGCAGACCATGAAAAGAACTTACAAAAAGAGTGGAGTGAGGTGTGTAGGTGGACAAAGGGAAAAGGAGGGGACACAGCCTAAAACCATCAAGTCAGATTGATGAAAGAACATCATAAAGGACTTACACAATGATGTATGGGCAAAGGCAAAATCAGGAACACAGCTACAAATGAACAAGTCAGATGTATGAATGGACATAAGTAAGGACTAGTGTTTGGAAGTCCGGTCTCGTGACTGGAAAAAGACTGTAACCAGACCGGACCAAGACTGCAAAAGACTGCAAAAAAACCGGTTAACGTGAACCGGTCTTGACCGGTTTGGATTGGTATTTTGTATCCCCTTAAATACCCTTTAAAACACACCCAAGAACGTACAATTTGGTAACAAAACGAGAGAGATATGAATTAAAATGTAAATTACTTTTGGGAATAATAGATGTACCAGACTTATTTTATAGAAGCACCAATTCCTAACGGAATTTAACGTTCTTGGGCTCGTTTTGAAGCTATTAGAGATGTTAATAAATTGAGTGATTCATAATTTTAAAATATTGGCCTAAAGACCGGTCATAAACCGGTTAAAACTGATGCAGACCGAAACTGGTCTATAGACCGCAAAAAACTGCGGTCTGCGGTCTTTTTGCAGTCCGGTCTGGTCTTTTGACTTCTGGGGAAAAGGCAGACCGGTTACGGTTACGGTTAACGCCCCTGGGCATCAAAAAACCGGACCGAACCGGACTTTCAAACACTAGTAAGGACTTAGGAAATACCAAATGAGCGGCACAACAACCAAGTTAGATGGAAGAAAAATAAGTCCAAAAGGACTTAACATGAAAGCAACAACCTAGTTAGCAACTGAATCTCGAGAGTTCTTTCCTGGCCCAGCACATTTGCCTGAAACACAAGCATGGCCAGAAGTACTAGCAAAAGGCTGAGATACTGATCGAGATGATGAGGCAACATGAGCTGAAGAACTAGTGAAGGGTTGAGAGACTGAATGAGATGATGAAGCTGGTGTTTTCTGGTTTCTGAGTGGGTCAAAGAATGAGATTGGATGTTCAGCTCGTCAAAGTTTGGTATAAAACATGTTATTGGGAAGGGAGGCAAAGGCAGTACTTTACAGTGCCCCACCTATTCCTGCAGGAATGGGATCATTCCAGTGGAATTCCAGGGGAATCCTGCAGGAATAGAGTCATTCCAGTGGAATTCCAGTGGAATCCACAGCATTCCACTGGAATTCCACTGGAATACGACTGGAGAGTAAGTTTTTTTCAACTCCAAGCTTATCCTGATGACTTGGCACTCATATTTCCTTATAAAATTCACATGTAGAAGTCATAGATTGAGTTGTAATTTATTTGAAATGTATTACTACCCACACTACACAGTTTATCTTAAAGGGAGGGGGTAGAGGAGGGA